TTCTAATAAACAATGTCACATTCTTTCAAATGTTGTTGATGATCAAGCATTCCTCAAATTGGAAAAATGACATTAAAATGTAAAAGCCATGTTTGCATATTTGGTTTGCATTTCTGTTTGAAATCACAAAGTGAAATCACAAGTGGCCATGTTTCCATGAGATTGTCACCATGTACAAATATTTACTCATCCTGCCCTTTAAACAGGACCTTTTATACATCATTCTGATTTCTACTTTTTTATTGTTGATAAAGTTGATAAATTCAGTATTTTCTTGGGAAGTCAAAAATATTTTTCTCCATAAAGGAAAAAAAAATACAAACTTTTAAAAATATGTCCCTTTTCAAAATGTTTTATGCTTATTACCAGGTTTTCCCACTTTCTAGATGTAATAACCTTTGTTTCACTGGATACTGGAAGAAAGGAATTGAGGGGGAACAATTCTGCTGCTATGACTGTGTTCCATGCCCAGAAGGGAAGATTTCAAATCAAAATGTTAGGTAGGCATTCTACCAATTTTCGTTGGACTTAAGAAAACTTTAATAAACCAATTTAGGTTCAATAAAATTAAGTGAGTTTCAACTGTATGGAATTACTAAAATGACAAATTCCTTGATTTTCCTTCCAGATGTGGATGACTGTTTTGAATGTTCAGAAGATCATTATTCAAATGAAGAAAAGAATGGATGTATCCTGAAAGCGATGGTGTTTCTAACCTTTGAAGAAACCCTAGGAATTGGTTTAGCTGCAGAAGCTCTTGGTTTCTTCTTCTTGACATTTTGGGTACTTGGAACTTTTATTAAGCACAGGGATACTCCCATTGTCAAAGCAAACAACCGGTCCATCACCTACACCCTGCTTGTCTCTCTTCAGCTATGTTTTCTCTCCTCTTTCTTCTTCCTCAGCTCAGCCAGCCTGGCAAAGTGACCTGTCTCCTCTGACAATCAACTTTTGGCATCACCTTCTCTGTGGCCATTTCTAGTGTATTGGCTAAAACCATTACTGTGGTTGTTGGTTTCATGGCAACTAAATCAGGATCTCAGATGAAGAGATGGGTGGGGAAAAGATTGGCTTTTTGCACTGTCCTTTCCTGCTCTCTCTTCCAAGTGTTTATTTGTATCCTTTGGTTGTTGTCATCTCCTCCATTTCCTGAGTTGGATATGCATTCAGAGCTGAAAGAAATGATCTTACAGTGCAATGAGGTATCAGCTTTCTTTTTCTTTTGTGTCTTGGGCTACATGGGTATATTGGCCATCTCAAGCTTTATTGTGGCTTTTCTTGCAGGTAAATTACCTGACACTTTTAATGAAGCCAAGCTCATCACCTTCAGCATGTTGGCCTTGTGCACTGTATGGATCTCCTTCTTTCCAGCCTATCTGAGTACGAAAGGAAAAGCCATGGTAGCTGTGGAGGTCTTCTCCATCTTGTCCTCCAGCGCTGCATTACTGGGATGCATATTTTTGCCAAAATGCTACATCATAGTTTTCAGGCCTCAGCTAAATCTCAGGGAGCAACTTACAAAGAGAAATTAGTACATCATATGGTTTTTCTGGCACAGAGAAATTTCTGAAAAAAGGAATAGAAAGAGTACTCTCTATAGGAAACATATATAAAGTTATAATAATAACCATTCACTCTCTATCCATAAATCTATTTCCACTCAATCAGTTATCAGATATTAATAATATAAGAAATTTAATAAAATGAAATGAAATGTATTCTTGCTTCTGCCTTTTCTTTTATTCAAAGTGTTTGCTGCCCAATAACTATAATGAAGAGTAATTTTATTTATATAGAAGGTTGGTAGAACCAGAGGGAAGAGTGAAAAAAGGAAATAGTTTAGAGGCCTTCCATAGCCACAAGTGAAGTAACTCTCCAACTCTCCTTGAATGCTGTTGACCTTTATCTCTTTATGCTAATAATTTAAGCAATAAGTCAGTTTATTTGAACCTTCCTGTGTGCACCTCTTTTTTCTGCCTGACATTAATCTCCATTCTGGTGATACTTTTCTGTGAACAATGGAAAAGACCAGCATGACATCTGATCTAGAAACTGAATCAGGGACTGACCATCCAACAGTGGATGCTCTACTGCAACCTTTGTGCAGTTTGTGCCCTTTGACAATGCTCCAAATATACAAAAGATGCAGAATTTGGTGCAACCAACCTCCCTGGCATGGCTGCAAGCCCTGGTACTACAATCTCTGTGGCAGAGGAGTCACTGTTAGTCTCAAAGGTGCTTTTTCAAAAGACAACTGGATGAGGTTGCTACAAAGAAGAGGGAGTCAGGCTATTCTCCAAAGGATTTGAGGGCAGGATAAGAAGGAATAGGTGGAAACTAATCAAAGAGAGAAGCAACCTTGAATTAAAGAGAAATTTCCTGACAGAATAATTAATCAGTAGAACAACTTGCCTCCAGAAGTTGTGAATGCTCCAACACTGGAAGTTTTTAAGAAGAGACTGGACAACCATTTGTCTGAAATGGTATAGGGTTTCCTGTCTGACCAGGGGGTAGTACTAGAATAACTCCATGGTCCCTTTCAACTCTGTTATTCTATTCTATCCTATCACCTTTAAATGTGAGATAAACAAAACCACTTTAAACAAAACCTCTCATCCAAGAAGCTTCATTGGTTTGGCAGGATGGAGAGGGCTAAGGGGGTGGTAGTTTTAACAGGATGGAGGGTTGGAAGGATCAGATTTATTTGCAGTCATTTGGTCTTAGCATTCTCCCTGAGAGCTCTTTGGGCCACCTGTATCAGAGTGCAAATGGGGGTGGAATCTTCTCGGAAATGCTGAAAGGAACCCACTAGAAAGCTAAATTCAGTGGCGACTTTGTATTCATTAGGACAATCTAGATAAAAGCCATCTTCCTCCCTCCCTCCCTCCCTCCCTCCCTCCCTCCCTCCCTCCTTCCTTCCTTCCTTCCTTCCTTCCTTCCTTCCTTCCTTCCTTCCTTCCTTCCTTCCTTCCTTCCTTCCTTCCTTCTTCTATGACAGTTGATATCCTACTACACTGTCCACTGTCCTAATTCCTGTAAAAAAAATACTGAATACTCACTATCTTACATTAAAAAGTGCTTGGAAGGTGACCTTTTGAGTCCACAAAGATACCATGAGAGAAGAGTAGGAGTCACAGAACATGGCTTCCCTCCTCATTTTTCCTTCCCTTATATGTAATATAGGCAAGCAGATGAAAGCATACTCTTCTTGACTTTTTGCCCTGTTACACATGATACATGACTGGCTTCTTCAAACATTCCAGAGTTAAATGCATCTCTATGAAACCATACCTTGAATGTACTACTGACTTCCTTACTTGAGGGACATATGATTGAAATGAGGGAATGATATAACATTTATATATCTGCATTTTCATCTTAGAGAAAAAATGAAGTTGTTGAAGATTTTGAGTCACTCTAAATGAAACATGCTATTTAAAACATTTGTGATTGTTGATCATTTGTCTTTTTTCAACCCTTGCAGAGATATTTGGGAACAAATCTTTCTAAGATAATCTCAAATTAAGGTAAATAAGTTATTCTGAATGGTGTAGGTGGTTGGAGATTTTGTCAGAAAAAGAGCTGACATCTGGAGAAATAGAATTGGACAATTAGTGTGACCTAATATTATGTACAAAGGAAAATACAGGCATTTTAACAAATAAGGGATTTTATCTGGAGATTATGATGTCCATGCTAATAAAGTAGTGTGACCTAATATTATGTACAAAGGAGAATATTATTTACAAATCCAGCCTGCATGTATGTACAGAATAATATAAAAATATAAAATACAAAATCAAGTCTTAACCTACTAATTGTCCAATTCTATTTCTCCAGGTGTTTTCAAAACACGTTTAGTCTCTGTCACGTATTATGTTATCTAAAAGAAAGATATTGATCAGCTATATCAAGAAAATTGCCAGGTTGCCTATAGTTCAGTGGTAATTATGTCCCTTATGAATTACTGAAATCACTCCAATAGGAAGGAAGAAACAATCCATATAAAAAGTTCAAGAGCAACAGGGTGGCAGGAAGAGGTAATGCTGATTGTCTGAGCTTCACTTCCACAAATTTGGTTCCTTCTGTCTTCTCTGCCAGAACTTCACTTTGAATGATAGACCCAGACATTTTCTCCATTTGCAGAAAGTCATGAAGTTACTCCTTCTGGTATTCCTGTTGAACAAAATAGTTACTCTGAGCTGCCCTGCAAGTCAACCTTTCCTTGTTCCACATGACTGGTACCAGCCTGGTGACCTCATCGTTGGTGGGATGGTGTCTCAAATTGTTTACTTCTTTTTTGAAATTAAATTTAAGGAGCATCCATCTTTAAAAGGTTATGATTTACCACTGTAAGGGTTCTTTTTTCTTCCCATGTAGTTTCAAATCTTAATCAGATCCTCCATTGAAGCTGTTTGAACATAGAAGCTGTTTGAACATAAATGCCACTTTTTGTATGTTATCTAAGTCATTTTGTCTTTGAAATCTATTTGGATGTTGGAGAAGAAATAATTTCCTTTATATTATGTTAAAGTCTTTCTTGTAAAATGTATGAAACTATGCTGAAAGAAGTCTTTTGAGGAATATTTAGTGAGATTAAAGTATTTTTAAAAGGTCTACGTTATCTATTCATATTTAGTTTTGTGTTAAGTGGATAGAAAATAAAGTGGTAGCTTGAAAAAAAGCTACTATTTTTATATTGTTATAGTACATTTGTATATTTGAATTCTGTACTAATTATTGAGTGTTTCAGAAAACCTGACATCTATCTACCTCAGTAAGAGACAAAAATTCTTCTTCATATAGAAATGTTGCCACCTTACAAGAATTATATATATATTTCTAATGGGGGTATTTAACCTATTTGCAGTGTAATAACCAAATTCTATCAGCACGTCCTTGCCTTGGCTTTTGCTGTGAAGGAGATCAATGAGGACCCCCAAATCTTACCTAACATCACTCTTGGGTTCCACATCTATGATAGTTACCACAATCCAAGGATGACCTACCGCACCACTTTGGACCTGCTTTTCAAATCCCAGGAATTTGTCCCTAACTACAAATGTGATAGCCGGAAGCATCTCATGGCCATCATAGGAGGATTAGGTTCGGATACATCATCTTATATGGCAGATAGTGTAAATGTCTACAAAATTCCACAGGTAGTTTGGGCAGGGGATGTGAGAGAAACTTTGCCTTCTTTTCTAATGAAAGTTATATATTAGATGTTCACCATGCCGGACTTCAGTGAATTCCACTTTTCTACCCTTCTGTAATTTGATTCCACAATGCAGTGCACTGGCCCAAGCTAATGCAATTTTAAAAAATCAAAATCTTTTATCATGATCATAGATCGGAAAATTAAAATGGAAAACATAAGTTATGAGGAGTCCTTGGTGCTCTCTGAGCTTGCTTGTTTTCTTGCAGATGATTCATTACCTTAACTAGATAACATAATCAGTGCTTACAGAAACAACATTAAACTTATTTAAGGGGGCAACTATTGTGTTTTGACCATCATCTGGCAATAGATGTGTCATGTCTTTATTGGGCTCTGATAATAATAGTTTAGTAGAAAACTAAATGTTTTTTTTCCAGAATTGTTGGATGATTGCTGCTCTAGGGTCCTTTGGGGGATCTGTATATATAAAAAGCAATAAAGGAGAACACACTTAACTTTTTCCATTTCTGCAGAATCTCATGGGTAGTCTTTCACATTTAAGTATTTTATTCAATAAGTCTACTTCTAAGGAACATAGAACATGGAATAATAGAGTTGGAATGGACCTTGAAGGTCTTCTAGTCCCACCCCCTGTTCGCACAGGAGACCCTATACCATTGCAGATAAATGATGCCCAGTGTCTTTTTCAAAGCCTTCAGTGATGAAGCACCCACATATTTTGAAAGCAAGCTCTTCCATTGGTCGATTGCTCTCACCATTAGGAAATTTCTCTTTAGTTCTTGGTTGCTTCTCTCCTTGGTAGCTTCTAGGTTGCTTTTCTCCAGATTTAGCCATATTCTAGGTGTTCATGAGCATGAACATTCTGGAACCCTATATCAGGATGGTAATTTTGCTTCATAATCCAGTCTACAGATGAGGAAATATTTCATGCTGAGACCATATTGCTTATATTGTTCATCTTCCATAATCTATGTCTAATCGGAGAAATGCTCAGGGTAGGGATGCCTTCATTCAATTTCCATTCAGCAAGCAATCATTTTTTTCATATTTCCCCCTTGATTCTCATGAATAATGGCTCTCCTTTTTTTTAGTTTAGTTGACTTATGGCTCTTTTGCCCAAGAAGAATTCCGGAGTACTAAGTTATCTTCACTTTATTGCATGGCCCCATATGAGGACCATCAATATACTGGAGTTATACAACTTCTTCTCCAGTTTGGATGGATATGGATTGGAGTCTTCACTCTTGATACGAACAAAGGAGAACATTTCTTTCAGAAACTGCAGTCACTGCTTTCCCAGAATGGCATCTGCATAGCTTTCTCACAAAAAATTACACAACTAGTAAACTTGGAAAACGTGTCTGAATTACTTGAAACAAACTCAATGATTCGTAATAAGCTGATAGATCAGAAAGCAAATGCTTTTCTTGTCTATGGAAAATCATTCACAATTTGGTGGCTCAGAATTGTTATGTTTCTATGTGATCTAGAGGATAAAGACAGCACACAATTCAGAAAAGTTTGGATCCTGATGGACCCAATTGATTTCATACTGACAGCATTTCAAAGAGGTTTGGATCTCCAGTTGTTCCATGGGGCCCTTTCTTTTACAGTGCACTCAAGAGAAGTTCAAGGCTTCAAAGAATTTCTTCAAGTCACCAAATCTTCAACCCATGAAAATGGATTTTTTCAAGATGTTTGGGAGCAATTGTTTGACTGTTCATTTTCAAATAAAGAATTTTTCTTAATGTATGATAAGACTTGTAGTGGAGAAGAGAAATTGGAGAATCTGCCTGCACCTGTGTTTGAGTTGCAGATGACTGGCCAAAGTTACAGTATCTACAATGCGGTCTATGCAGTGGCATATTCTTTACATGAGGCAGTGAGATCAAGATCCCAACAAAAAAAGATTCAAAGGTTTGAATTTCCAGATTTTCAGCCTTGTCAGGTAATATCTCAAAAGATGCTTTACCCATCTTTTCCTTTAGTGAATAGTCATTCTTATCTACAATTGATTGTGGCTGGTTTTCCTTAGCCTATACTCACATATCAGTAGAAAGCTGGTGGTATAAGAGGTGATTCTAAGTTACAGAATACAAGGGGATGAAAATAATAATAATAATAATAATAATAATAATAATAATAATAATAATAATAATAATAATAATAATAATAATAATAATAATAATAATAATAATAATAATAATAATAATAATAATAATAATAATAATAAAAAGTTGGAAGGGACCTTGGAGGTCATCGAATCCAACCCCCTGCTCAGTCAGGAAACTCTACACCATTTCGGACAAATGGCTGTCCAGTCTCTTCTTAAAAACTTCCAGTGTTGGAGCATTTACCACTTCTGGAGGCAACTTGTTCCACTGATTAATTGTTCTAACTGTCAGGAAATTTCTCAATCTAGTCAATGAGATTTATATATCATCCTTGGTTCTATAAATAACCATTTCATAAAATGGACCTGTCTTATAAATTTATCCAGTCCAGTTCCAAGATAAATTCAACAAAGAAGGATCTGAAGGCAGTGTTTCTTTGCTCTGTGCCCAACAGACTTTTCTTAAATGTGGATATTTCATTTTTCTTATTAGTATTTTGCAGTTTAGTCAACAGGGTTGTGGGACTGTGGATTTAGAGACTATGACAATTGTATTTTATCAGTAGAGGTGCACTGTTTTCATGAAGTGATGCTAGTTTTTAGATTTAAAGTAAACTACCAGGAAAATTGTTGAGCTTGGTGCTTGAAAGTACTTGTCATCATTGACTAATACAACAAAAGTGATTTCCATACCTCATTTATTGATCATTCATTGTGGGCTGAGATTTTCTTCTTTATATTTCAAGTTAGGAAGACATTTTTTTCATTTTCAGTTTTAATCCTTTTATCCCTAATCCATTGTTTTCTTCTGGACTCCCATTTTCTTATCCTTCTTCAAGTAGCTCCACAAGTTTATTCAAGGGATTTCTTTTAATAACTCAGCTGGAGAAAAAGTCTTCTTTAAGGACAAAAGAGAAAGTCAAAGTGGTTTTGACATTGTCAACATGATCACTTTTCCAAACAGATCTTTTCAGAGAGTTAAAGTTGGAAAGTTAAAGTCCAATGCTCCAGAAGGAAAGGAATTCATCATTGAGAGGAGCACAATCGTTTGGCACCCTGGATTTAACCAGGTAGGTAATCATGATTGTGTAAAAGCCTGCACAAATTGCATCTTGATCCATTATGATCTGTTGCTCTTTATGTGTTGAACCATACTGAAGATAGTCACTTTCCAAATCTGATTTCTGTTGTTAATAATAATAATAATAAAGTTGGAAGGGACCTTGAAGGTCATCTAGTCTAACCCCCTGCTCAGGCAGGAAACCCTATACCATTTTGGACAAATGGCTATCCAGTTTCTTCTTAAAAACTTCCAGTGTTGAAGCATTCACCGCTTCTGGAGGCAGGTTGTTCCACTGGTTAATTGTTCTAACTGTCAGGAAATTTCTCCTTAGTTCTAGGTTGCTTCCCTCCTTGATTAGTTTCCATCAGTTGCTTCTTGTCCTGCCTTCAGGTGCTTTGGAAAATAGCTTGACTCCCTCTTTGTGATAGCCCCTGAGATATTGGAACAAATTTATATCTGGGCTTCAATTCCATTTGAAATTACAAGAATTGTTTGATTTCCATAATATTGCCTTCATGTCAATTTATTTTCTTGCTCTGCTCCTCTTCAAGCAGGCCCTTTTATACATCCTTGTAATTTCAACATTTTTTTAGTGCACAGTATAAATCTAGGTTAATAAAATTCAGAAGCCTTTGGGTAGTAAAAGATTATTTGCCTCCATAAAGGAAAAAAAAAATAGAAACTATTTTAAAGGGGTACCTCAGGGGTCGGTCCTCTCCCCCCTTTTGTTCAATATTTATGTAAAGCCGCTGGGGGAGATCATTCGTGGCTTTGGGGTGGATTTCCATCAGTACGCTGATGATACGCAGCTGTACATTTCCACCCCAGGCCACCCCAACGATGCCCTTGACGTGATGACCCGTTGCCTGGAGGCCGTACGGGTCTGGATGG